TTCGGCCAGGTCCCAGAAGTGAAATACTGGGGCACATTAATCTGCCATGACAGCCTAATCCCATTGCTCACCACCTCCCAACAATTCTCAGTTTCCTAATTACCTTTCATAGTTTTCCTGTTTAAAGTTTCCTCTAAGCCATGGCTGCACTCTGCCATTAAGTCTCTTTTTCAAAGAATGCGCATGTCTAGGGACACTATGAAGGTACATTTTAATTTGTACACTTATTCTTGGTGCCTGTACAAAGTGCTGAATGCCTATAGGAACAACATTCTCACTGACTTATTTTTGTAACTTTCTTTTCAATGTGTTCCCTGTTAACAAATGAAAAACTTTCACATTTGAGACAATCTAATCAATAATGTACATCAAATACTCATGTAGTTAAAAGTACTTGTTCTTGTGAAATTTGGATTCTCTTCTATTCCTCCCTTCCCTTCTCTCTCCATACATCTTACATATATGGAATCACATTTTCACATCTACAGTGTGTGTGCACCAAAACTACTTATGTAATGAATATACCTACCACAATTAAAATGGGAGGTGGTATTAATGTCAATTTTTCCCAAATGTGATTGTGAGTTTTTTTTCATATTTTCCATGAAAAAATAGAAGTATTTCTTTATGGAAAATATATTACATGAAAGAAATTACCTCTTTAAAAATGGTTTTATGATTAATTAAGAGTGGTAAATGCTGCATGTTGCATTCCCTTCCCGCAGAATCACAAGGTGTATTTTCACCTAGCAGCGCCTCTGGGAAGTCCTACGGTGCAGAAATGGTTCAATTTTTAAAGCCAGCATTTCTCAAACTTATTTGACCATGGTACCCTTTGTATTTCAGTCCTCACTGCCATTTACCATTGCAAAGTTAATATTCTGTTGAATACCTTTTTGATAAAGCTCATCCTAACAGACATATTTTAGTTTTTGCCACTTATATCAACTTTTATGACTGTGGGCTTCACTCCTGGTGGTCATTAGAAGTTCACAGTGTGTAATAGCAGATACAGGCAACATTCTCCATGAAACTTGGCCTGTGAAAAAAAATTTGAGTTTTGGCAGTCTTCAAAAGTCTGATAGGGAACCGTATGGAAATGGATATGTTCTTGTTTAGATTGTTTTAATCTAGAAAGCTCAAAATAAACTTAGTACTGTGTTCCACTCTCTGAATGCAAAGATGTCACCTTGCTTGTTGAAAGATAAGCATTTTTAGTCTGAGGCTGGTCCAAGAAAGTCCTCGACACAATTATAGAGGACTGTGGGAGCCCTGAGGGTAAGAGCCACATCTTACTTATCTTTGTACTCCACGTGCCTGAGGCCTGGCATAATGATAGTCATTAATAATTGTTTGGGGAATGAATGAATGAATCACAGTGTTTTCCCCCACTTTCATAGCATTAGTCTGGTTTAGTTGCAACATCCGCATGCTTTCTGTAATTGAATCTGTATTGTAAGTGAGAGGGCAGATTGTAAGATGGAATTACAGAAAGGGACAAAGGGAATCCGATGAGGAATATGCTCAAACCATGGACATGGCGTGGTCACACTTGCACAAGCAGTCTGTCCTGATGAACCACCGCAGTTCAGAAGCCATATTGACACTGGGGAGAGGGAGAAGGGCAGCCTCGGAGCCAGAGTCTTTGTTTCTTTCCTGGTTAAGAAAGGAAACTCTCCTTATTCATCCTGAACAAAGAAAATACAAAGTGACTTGTGATTTTATGGGGTCTGCTAAGCTGAAGTGAATAAAGGAAGAGATAATATTGTACATCTTGACCCTACCTGCCTCATCAGTGTCTAAGTTATCAGGATTCATATCAGTAAGTGAGGTGCATCTGAGCCTGACTGTTTAACAAAAATGAATCATGAGAATCTGAGCCTGTGGTTAACACATAAATGAGAGGACTTCAAACAGTTCATGGAAAAATAGAATTAAAAGATAAGCCTAGGGAGCAAGAATTTAACCTAGCAGTTAGGACACCTGCATCCCATGTTGGAGTACCCAGGTTCAATTCCTGGTTCAGCTCCTGACTCCAACTTCCCTCCAGTGTAGACTCTGGAAGGCAGCAGGTGATGACTCAAGAACTTGGGTTCCTGCCTCCCACATGGAAGATTTGGATTGCATTCCTGGCCCTTGTGGTTGGCCTGGTCCAGCCCAGGCCATGGTAGGCATTTGGGGAGTAAATCAGCAGCTGGGAACTCCCTTTTCTCTATCTGTCTTTATCTGTGTCTGTCACTCTCTCCCTAATAAAATGGAAACAAGTTTATTTTGGTACAAAAAATTTTTGAAAACATGACTCATTTTCCATTAACTTTCTGAAGATCCCCTCATACTATAGAATTATGAATTAAATTTTGAAATCTTTCATTGGTGACAACCAGCTTGGTAAAAATGAAAAATCAAATATATGAAATATATGTTATAAGTATCACTCTCATTATACAATGAGAAGGAGCTTTAAAACTTGGAAATGTTACATAACTTTTCTGAGCCTCGGTTTCCTCATGAGTAAAGTGAGAAAGTAATACCTATTTCATGGTTGCTGTCAAGACTAGATAAAATAATGTATTAATTTGTTAATATGCTGCCTAGAGCATAGTAGCTATGATTATTAGTAGCATTATTATAAAGCATGTTAACATGCTTATTACTGACTGACAACCTTCAAATTTGAATTATAATGACTAGACACTGTAAGCTTATTAGCTAAACAGCTAATAGATTTTTAAGCATCTACTCCATAGAACACACTTGGATGTAAGGCATCCTAGAATTTCAGCAAAGACAAAGGCATATAATACACATTTGAGACATGAGTTTCCATAGGAATGAACCCTATATAACTAACATTAAACAATAATTCGTGACTAAGATTAGCCAACCAAAATTTAACTTATTGAATGAAACAGACTAAGGCAAGTTTTATAAAAAATAACACATGCCCAATTAAAATCTAGTATCCTCCTTACTAACTCTGATAATCATCCCTACTGAACCAATCCTGCTATTTCTGCCAATGTGTGGTCAGCTCTGAGTCTTTCCAAGAATCACAGGGCCCTGCACCCTTGAACTAGCTGTGGTCTCAGGTTACGTCACGCTGTTCAGGAGGTCAGCTTCTCACCAAAATTCCTCACAAGGCTCTTAGCTGCAGTCCTTGCTTCTCTAACTGGCTGGACAGACTGTGAGCAGCATTTCCAAGTTAAGGTCAAATTGTGCTTTTGACAACCAAGTCCCTGGCAAGGAGCAAGAAAGCACACGCAGACAGAGATGGAACTTAAACTCGAGCCCCACAGCTGCCCTTTGAATCCCAGATTCTCTGGGACCTTTCAATGCTCTAAGTCCTACTCCAAGAAAAGAGTTTTAACAGAATGTATTTGAACATTTTCAGTGAACACCTTATTGAACTGACATCATTGAGGAATGGTTTGTTCCACATAAACAAAATTAACAGATAACTCAAAGTAGTCCCTTCAAGTTATAATGATCATTTTATTGATTTAAAGTGTAGATATCCATGTGTATTTAAATTATTGGCTAATAACCAATATAAAGATAATTGATATAAAATAATTACTAGAAACCACAATCTAATACATACCAGGCACTGTGATAGGCACTTTCAAATATATTACTGTAGTCTTATAAATAGCAGAGTATGTGTATCATCATTTTAAAGATAAAACAATAGAGTCTTTTTAATAATAAGATTTATTTATTTACTTGAAATTTAGAGTTACAGAGAGAGAGAGAGAGAGTCTTCCATCTGCTGGTTCACCAGATGGCCTCAACAGTCAGAGCTGCACTTATCCTAAGCCAGGAGCCAGGAGCTTCTTCTGGGTCTCCCATGCAGATGCAGGGGCCTTAGCATTTGGACCATCTTCTACTGCTTTCTCAGGCCACAGCAGAGAGCTTTATTGGAAGTGGAGCAGCCAGAACTTGAACCAATGCCCGTATGTGGTGCCAGCACTGAAGGTGGCTTTACCCTCTACACCACAGAGCCAGGCCCAAAGCAATGGAGTCTTAAGGAGGCTGAGAAACTGTTGAAAGCTACTAAGTGGAGGAAGAGCTGAGATTTGACTCCAAATCCAGGAAACTTTGCAGAGTTCTACACCAAGATTCCATAGTGTGACTGTGGTCTGGGATACCATGCTAGAAGGTTGTCAGTCATCCACAGAAAATGCATAAACTGTACATGGCAGGATATTCACCAGGTCCTTTGTTATGGAGAGATGAACACATTTGGAATAGGGCAGTTGTTCTGAACTCTCAGAAGAAGCATAAGGGGGCTGGCATTGTGGCATAGTAGGTTAAGCCTCCTCCTGCCGCACAGGCATCCCATGTGGGGACCAGTTCAAGTCCCAGCTGCTCCACTTCTGATCCAGCTCCGTGCCAATGGCCTGGGAAAGCAGTGGAAGATGAACTAAATGCTTGGGTCAATGCACCCGTGCAGAAGACCTGGAAGAATCTCTTGCCTTCTGGATCTGGATCGCCCCAGCTCCTGCAGTTTGGGGAGTGAACCAGCGATGGAAGACCTCCCTCTCTTTCTCTCCCTCTCTGTAACTCTACCTCTCAAATAAATAAATCTCTGTAAAGCAAACAAAAAAGCCTCCATTGATCCACAAATGATCCCTCTTTTCCCCTCAGAACATCTGTTGCACTAAATTGGACCTGCAACACTCTGTATGATGCATTAGTATTTGTATTGTTGTTGTGTGCATTGTTTTTCCTTATGATCATGTGGCATCTCCCTTACTGTTCTGTAGTTTCTTAGAGGCAGGGACTATGTCTTATGTACTGTCTGTCATCCATGATATGTAGCCTAACCACATGTTCCTGAAAGGGTTTCTTAAGAGAGGCATGAACAACACATGCTGTTGCCTGAGAATGTAACTAGTCCCTGTCCTTTGCTAGAGGTGGGAAAAGCAGTTTGAGCAGAAGAACTGGGAGAATGGTGATGGTTGAAGGGGCCTGCCCACTCACCCTCTGTCCTCTTGCAGGAGCGGCTCTGCCCTGGCCCAGCTCTATGGAACATCTGCTACCTTAGAGCACCACCATTTTAACCACGCCGTGATGATCCTTCAAAGTGAGGTACTGACCTGGTGTTCTGTTTCTCTTCTTCACGGAAACCAAAACAACTATTTGCTTCCTCCCTCACTTTCTTTGTGGTGCCACAGGCAGATGCAGAGATACGAGAAAACCACTGAAGTCCAACTGTGGGGCCTTTGTAGTTCTTTTGATTCTTTTAGATGACCGAGCAAGGGCCTTGTTCAAATTCTTTCTAAGCCGATTCATTTGTGTTTCATCAGTGGCTGGGGTCAGCAGGATAGACCGTATGCCACCAGAGCATGATTTTCCATTCCTTAAGAGACACAGAAGCCTACTTATTGGGGGACTTGAGCCAATGACTAAGTAGCCCAACATTCTCATTTTGTGAAACCCAGAGCAATTTTTAAATATGGTAGAAGCAAAACTGGGGTGAGAAAGTTATACTTTATGAGCATAGTTGAGAAGCCTATAAAAGATGAAAGAACCTAAAATTGCTGGTGGGACAGGGCTCATGCCATATGCCTTATTTTGCTTCAAGTGGCAATGCAGGAGTCAGAAGTAGTTGGGATTTTATACGATTAGCTTTCCACCGAGTAAAACAGAAACCACTGACTCCGGCTGAGGCATCTGAGCTTTAAATTGCTAGGAAAGGATCTGTTTAATTTTCTGCAGGCGTACATTTTTTTTTTTTTTTTGAGGCCGGGAAGGGATCATCTGTTCCCTATTATTTGTCAGTTCTCTAGCTGTGCCATTAATTATTATTATTATCATCATTAAGGCCCTGCTTCACTGAAATAGCATCATTAAATATGGAGGGTCTTTTTTCCTTCCAGCCTATCTGGAGAAAGCATGTCTTTTGCAATATCGTGACGGCCTTTGACCCCATAAAGGAAAGCCGACATTCCAGAACCTACATGCACCCTGGGGAGAGGCAAGCCTGCTGGGGGTGATATCTCTTCAGCTGGGAATGAAACATCCAGGGTTAGGCTCTCAGTACCTGACAGAAGCCAGCGACCTGGCATCTGTAGCTCAGAAATTTCCCTATGAAAGCCACGCTGGCGCTGAGTGCTGTGCGAGAGGGAAGCAGAGCTGGAAGGAACTTCGGTGCAGACTATCTTCTCTGTACCGGCAAAGGTGATGAATCTGCCTCTGATCCTAGCAACCCCTAGCTTTGTAATGAGGGTTATAAACAGGTTGTCAGCTTCCTAGGGGAAATGAACTCCACTCACTCGGAATTTGGGTTCACGCAGACAGAACACATTGGCCACCCTTCCCTTTGAAATTCTTCATGAAGGGCAGAGAGTGATCATCGCAGAAGCAAGCCCTGAGCACCTGCTACAAGCGGGTGCTGCCCAGAACTGCCCCCTCAAACCCTTCTGTCACAAGGCAGACAAGCAGGTGTCCTTATCCTGCCACTTTCCAAATGACACACAGGTGCCCGGAGGTTGGATGCCTTGAGGAAAGTTGCCCCAGGCCTTTCTTCCTCCACATCTGCCATTTCTCTCCATCGGTCTCACACTCACTGGGTCTCTAAGCAAAGGGTAGCAGCAGTATTGCAGGGAGACCAAAATCTACTTGAGGCATCAAACCCTTGAAGACCAATGTTCATATAAGCCATACGCAGATTACAAATGAACTTCTTTTGCATAACTAAAGCTTATCTGGCTAGCTTTGCCCCTTTGTTAATTGTAAAAAGCACTAGTTACCATATACCCTTTAAAAGTAGTAAAATGCAGGCCCTCACAACTAATCAGGATCCTCAAATTCAGACCACGTTACTTCTTGTCTCAACGTCAATCAGCTCCTAAAGTTTAACCTCTGACTAAGAGTTGCTGAGTGTGTGGCTGCATCCGGGTGACTACTTTTCCACAGTTTCCAACCACTTTTCCCCAAGTCCTGGAATGTGATTGATCCATGGGGCAAGAGTCAGGCGGAAGATCCTGGGCAGAATTATGGTGCTGCATTTCTTTAGTTATCCATCTTCCTCTTGATGGCTGAAGGCTCCAGGGAAGTTCATTTAAAAATTACAGTTAACGTTAGACCTGGCTCCACTTGGAACCAATATGCATAGTCTAGTATTTAAGAAGTGGTGGGTTCATCCAATGAGATAAATTAACTCAGGAGAGAAGATCATCATCTGGCACCAGGTGAGATATAATTTACTAATTGAAATTCTGATCCCCTCAAAGAATTAATTTACCTAATTGGAGACAATTCATAGGCAGTAATTCTGCCCTTTATTTCTCCACTATCTTTGGGTTCTCAACAGTAGCTTTAAAACTGGTCCAGTTCCTGGGCCAGCTGCTTATGAGTTCCAATTTCATGCTAGGAAAACCTGAGGAATGGGAAGTGGGCATTTAGCCTACCAGTGAACATGCTGTGTCCCACATTACTGTGTGGGTTTGATTTCTGCCTCCAGGCCCTGACTGAAGCCTACTGAAGCTTCCTCTGAATGCAGTCCCTGGTAGACAGTGCCGATGGCTCATGGAATTAGGTCCCTGACATACACATGGGAAACCTTGACCACATTCTCAATTCCTGACTTTGGCGTCAGCCTGGATTTTGGGGGAGTGAACTAGTGGGTGGGAGCTTTAGGTCTGTTTCTCTCTCCACCTAAATAAATAGTTTTTAAAAAGAAGAGAAAACCCGAGAAATTAAAAGATCCAACTTTCAGGACAAACTAAGTGAATTATTGGTTGCTTAGTAAAAGCGAAGTTAGTAAAAACAAACTGTGGAGCTGCCAATGCCTTGTGTAGCTAAAACAGATTTGGATGAAAGGAGGAGAGCTTTTCAAAGGTATGGAGATAAAGATGCAAGTGCAACTTTTCTTCTCTCTTTTTAAAATGTATTTATTTACTTGAAAGGCAGAGTATCACAGAAAGAGAGAGAGAGAGAGAGAGAGAGAGAGAGAGAGAGGTCTTCCATCTGCTGGTTCTCTCTTAAAATGGCTGCTGAAGCCAGGAGCCAAGAGCCAGGAGCTTCTTCTGGGTCTTTTGTGTGGGTGCAGGGGCCCAAGCACTTGGGCCATCTTCCACTGCTTCCCAGGCCATTAGCTGTGAGCTGTATTGGAAGTGGAGCAGCCAGGACACAAAGTTTGGTGCCTATATGGGATGCTGGCAATGCAGGTGGCACCTTTACCCACTGCACCAAAATGCCAGCCCTTAATTGCAACTTTCCTTAGGTAAAAGTCATCTTTGGAGTTCCACTGTGCCAAGAACAATATCATATATTCTAGCTACTCAGTAGTTATTCAATGTGTTGAATTTACTCTGCTACACACTTATTCAAAGTATGTTTTAACAGTTTTATGTGGAATTTCTCAACTCCAGCAGTATTAACCATGTAGGGCCTAAGTCTCTGATGTATTGAAGGACGTTCAGCAACTGCCACTGAATGCCAGGAACATCCACTCAGTCATGACCCTCAAAAACGTCTGTAGACATTGCCAGAGGCTCCCATTGCCAAAAAGACTCCCAGTTGACAACCACTGATCTAATGGTTTTTTTCTCCTCCTTAAGGAGTCACTTCTTGCCTTAGGAAATGTTTCCTATGTGCAACGTAAACCTTTACTCATGAAGCTACTGTTTATTTTAGGATCAGAAAGATTCCCAAACAGTTTGCCAACTTCTCCATTAAATTAATCCCATAGGAAATAGGCAGTCAGGTGGAGCTGATGGCGCAAACATGTCCAAAGTAAGCCAAATTCAAATATTTTAGAGTTTTCCCTTTGAGACTAATACATAATAAAGTGTCTTTCACTAGACTTCCTCAAAAATGATGCACTTTCCGGCTTTGCTGTGCTTGTCAGAGATTCTGTTTGTGTTTGTATAAAATGTCATTAGGCCTTTTTTGAAAAAAGATAATGTACCCTATTTTTAGACCTTTTTTCAATATAGGAAAAACATGGAATCAACAGCCACAGATTGAATGTTGTCTTTTGTTACCGTCACTTTCTCATTACAGGGTCACAACATATTTGCGAATCTGTCCTCAAAGGAATATAGTGACCTTATGCAGCTTCTGAAGCAGTCAATATTGGCAACAGATCTCACGCTGTACTTTGAGTAGGTATTGGCATTAGATCTATTTGACAAATGGGTATTTAAAGTTCTATACTGTGATTAATTTTGGGTCCATATTGGGGAATGCCTGTTACTCTAGCATTGTTATCAATGCATAAATGAACTAAACTGTTTGCTGCTGTTTTCCTCTTATCTAAATGAAGCTCATTAAAGCAGTGTATATAAGCTAAGGGAATCAGGGCTATATCTTATTTGTATCTTTATAAAGAGATTTATATCTTCCTTCTATTTTATAAACCTTTTTTTGAACTCTTGACTCTATATCTTTAGATATTGGCTAAGGTTGGTATTTCAGACTACCATTTCTAGTCAGATCTATGATGATGATGATAATGAAAAATACTTGCTGATGAAAGATTGACTAGAAGGCCAAGTCTTTATTCTTTGCTTCTCCTCTCTCCTTCTTAGAAGAGCTGTCTCCTTTGACCCCAAAATTCAGGCCTCTCCCTGAGCTAGGAATTCCATACCTCTCATTTCAGTGGGCCCAGTTCCATCAGGGATCACCTCTTTTGGCAGCCTGGAAGTCTCTCCCTCCTCTGATGTGCATAGCTCTCTCCTATTTAAAGACCAAACACTTCCTGCCTTAGAAGACAATTTCAATTGACCCTATGGAGATCTTCAATTGCTCCTAAATTTAACTTTTCATTGTCTTCCTTTTTTAACAAATAGGAATGAATACCTCTGATTTCCTAACACACATTTACATTTTGATGAGTAGATTCCACCAGTATATTCTATCAAAATTATACATTCTGAGGTCACCAGAGACTTCTTTCTTCCCAAATTCAATGTCTATACTCATTTCTGATTTCTCCTAGCTTCTTTGAGGAACCTGAAGGTTTGTTGGCATCTCCATTCCTGCTCTCTTTGCTTCCCCAGCATCCAGCTGCCCTTATCTCTTTTTTTCTAGATTCTTTGTATATTTCTTTTCTCCCAAGTTTGAATTCTCAAATCCATATTGTCCTTCCTCCACGCAGATTTTCTTCCCTGCCTCACTTCTGTATTATTTCCATATAGATTATTACCCGCAGTGAGAGCCTCGAACATCTTCATTCTGACAACCTATATCCCCAAGTCTCATCTCAAAAACCTCAGTTTATTCCTTGCTTTCAGAGAGAGCTCTAAATATGATTTGACTTTCAAGACCCTCTAAACATTTGTACCCAACTTCTACAATTCTTTTTTTTTTAATTCTTTTATTCGTTAGAAATAAAGTTACAGAGAGAGAGAGACAGAGAGAGACCGAGATAGATTTTTCATCTGCTGGTTCACTCCCCAAATGGCCACAAGGACCAGAGGTAGGCCAGGCTGAAGCCACGAGCCTGGAGTTTCATCCCCATATCCCATGTTGGTGGCAAGGGACCAAGCATCTGAGTCCTCGTTTGTACAATTCTTATGACCTACTTCTCTCCTCCGTGATTATCTAATTTAGCTAAACTGGTCTATACATTACCCTTTGAAACACCTTGTGTAGTCTCCCTTGTGCCTCAATCCTATCGTCATTCCTACACGGAATCCTGTCCCTCCACTTCCCATCTGGTTGAACTGAACATCCTTTAAGTTCATATCTTCTACAACTTTTTCTAAGTCTGGATGACTCCTTTAAAATATCACTGTAGTTTGTCATTGCATCAGCTAGAATTAGGTTCAATTTTAAAGGATAGAAAACCCAAAGTAACAGTATCTTACTTCTCTTTTACATAAAACTTGTTTGGAAATGAGCAACTGAACTTAGCAATATGAAGTCACCTGGGACTCAAGTCCTTCTCTCTTTCTAGGCTGCCACCTTCTACATACAGTTTTCACCTCTTAGTCCAAGGTAGTAGTTCATAATGTACACAGGAAAGAAAAAAAAAGGGACAAAGAAAACAGAGAAAAAGACAATGCAGCCTGTCTTCTAAGACTTTTCTGGAAGCTGCCACATGACACTTCAGTTACATTTCACTAGTCTGAATTTAGTCACCTGGCCATACCTAGCTTGAAGGAAAGTTGGGAAAGGAAGTTTTTATTATGGTTAGTCATGTACCCAGTTAAAAACTAGGAGTTCTTTTAGTGAAGTAGAAAACAAGGATAGAGATTGAAGTAAAACAAAAAAAAATTATCAGTCTATGCAATAGGTATTTATTGTTCTGTTCTACTAATTGAGATATGAAGTGGCATAGTGGAGATATGAAGTGGTATATATGAAATGGTAAAGGTGTTGGAGTTATAGTGGCTTGGATTTAAATCTCAGGCTGGCATTATAGTTAAACCTGGTGGTTTGAGTTCAGATGTCTGTCTCTCCCTTTTAAAATTCCACTGAGATGATGCTAAATGAATTTAAAGAAAAAAGGGCGCAAATCTGCAAGGAGATCCAGGGCAGAAAACAAATGACAAGAAATGTTATTTCAGTTGTGTAAAATGGAAGGCAGACTCACCCGTGGTAGTTGCTCCAGGAATGGGAAACGGGACCACAGAGGGGAACAGCACTGAGAAGCAAGGCAGTGTGCCCTACAGAACCTTGCATGAAAAGTGGGCGTAATACTCAAAGCCTAGGACAAGGAGATTGCCAGAAAGTCAGTTTACAGGACTTTCAAAGTCCACAAAGTCCTCTACCAGAATAGTCGTGCAGCTGCTTTCTCTGCTCCTGGAGAAGGCCAGAGAATTGTTTTCCAGAGAAATTAAATTAAGAACTCTGGACTGAGGAGAAGTACAGGGTGGGAATGAGAAGCAGAACTCAGAAGAGGGGATTCAGTGAAATGAACTGAAACCTCCTAGCCCACTCATCTAGAAGCTGGGAGTCTATAAGCCATACACCCAGAGCTGGGGGACCTAGCAAGTCATATAGAAGGCCTAATTGAGTTTAAATTTTTTAAACAATGCAGAGTTATTTGGTGTCTAGAGAGATCCTATGAATTTGTTTAGGAATATAATAAAAACAATTTTTATCAGAAACTCAAATCTACCTAGGTTTTCTATATTTTATCTAGTAATTCTACCCCTTCACACACACACACACACACACACACACACAGACGCACACACCTCTCACTTAACCCTTCATTGCCTTATTACTACCCACAAATAGACATCCACGTACAGCAGAACGTTTTTTAAGCCTCCTATATGAAAGACAAATCAAACAGGAAAATAATAAAATTCAGAGAAAACATGCAGAAGAAGAAAACAAAAGCAAAATGTTGGTGTTAATATCCTCACAGAGCTAAGATGTTGCACACATGCAACAAGAACCAGAGGCTTTAAAACTGAGAGTAGGAGCGACTGTGAAGAAGGAAGTGTTCTGAAAAGTTAAAAACAGACAACCAAAATGAAAAGTCAGATGAAAGCAATGGGAAATGCAATCAGAGGACAAAAGGCAGCAAAACGGAAAACACTGCTGTATTTAATTATATGACTTTTAGTGTTGTTTGATTTCTTGACTGTATACAGGTATTACAAATATAAATGTTAATTAATTTTAAAGTATATTTAAATAAAAAAACAGGCCAGATTTTTGACCTAGTGGTTAAGCTGCCAGTTGAGATACCTGCATCCCATGATGCAATGCCTGGGTTTGAGTCTCAGCTTCACTCCCAATTCAAGTTTCCTTCTAATGTACACCTTTGGAGGCTTAAGTAATTAGGAGACCTGGACTGCACTCCCAATTCTGGCCCCGGCCCAGGCCCAACCCAGCCCCAGTCATTGCAGGCATTTAGAGAGTGAAGCAGATGAGAGCATTCTGTTTCTCTCTCTCTCTCTCTATCTCTCTTTCTCTCTCTTCGCCCTTCATTTCTCCCTCCCTCTTCCCCCTTCATCCCTCCCTGTCTCTCTCTCTCTCTCTCTCTCTCTCTCTGATTCTGTTTCTCTGAATCTTAAATAAATAAGAATTAACTACATAAAACTATGCAGTGTGACATCAAATTATTTACCTCTCTGACCATGTTTTCTTCACAAGTAAAATGGAAACTATGCCTACATTATACAAGGTGCTTCAACAAGTTCATGGAAAACACATATTAAGAAAAACTTTGCATGAGTTTTTTTGCACCAAAATTATCTTTTAATTCCATTTTCTATGAAATTTTTAAAGTACTCTCATATATCTTATAAATGTCTCCTATGTCTTTAATGTCGTATCAGTGCTCTTATCTATAATCTCATTTGTTTTACAACTTATTTGTTTTGCCTGTTCTGTGGTTCTTGTGTTGCCTTCATTATCATGATCTTCCATCTTTTTCTGGATTGATGCTCCTTGAGTTGGGATTTGTGGAAAGCCTTATGCTTTTTGTGTTTTTATTTCCTTCCCCTGACACTTGCAGAATTTTGTATTTTTTTTTTTCAAATTAGAAATATTTTCCCAAGCCAAAAAAGTTTTTCAAATAACTTTTAAAGAGAGAGAGAGAGGGAAACCTCAATACTCAAAGTCCATTTATCAAGCACTGTTAGCTATGGAATGCAGTCAAGAAAGTTGGTTGCAACTCGTTTTCTCATTACTCTGGCCTTATCTTAATGCTGCAGCCCTTGCTAATGTTTGCTGACTCCCAAAGAAGCTGACTTGTTCTTTTTTTGTCAATGTTCTTGTCTTTGAACTTCTGAATAGCTGCTCATTCTCTAATCTACACCTTCAGGGGTCTGATTCACTTGCCTGTCTAAAGTTGCATTAAAGTATTGCCTTATTTTTAGCCAAAACAATGTCTAGGGTTAATGAGGGGGAAAGTAGCTACTGTCCAGATGATTTTATTCCCTAAACGAGCAGTTGTGGAGCTGGAAGGGATCTTACAGTGATGTTGTCTAATTCATCTCCTTTGTTTTGCCGATGATTAGGCAAGGTCCAAAAAGGTTAAACCATGCAGCTTGAGTCATATAATTGATTAGTTTTGGCAAAACTGTAAGCCACACCTCCTGTTTCAAGATTTTTTCCTATAATCACCATATTCCATATCTACTGAAGGAATCAAGAAATAGTTGTCATTTGAATTTGGGATATTTTATATGACAATCCT